TTAAAGAAAATTTGAAAGTGTATAAGTCATGATCAAGTTTGGGGGTTTTGTGTCTGAATGAGTAACTCTGTTCTCTATAAAGTCACCTTCTTCTGGGATCTGGACAACCAGTCAGAATGCCTGGTAAACCATGGGGTAGGAAGCCTCTGAGAGGTGGGGAAGATGAAGCCCTGTCAATATGGATGACCGTCTCACTCAAACATCAAACATCAGGATAGAAGCAGAACAGAGAGATCTTTCAGGGAAATTATATGTTGTTCCATAAAGCACTAGAATGAGAACAAGACCAAGCAAGTCTACTTTATTTTTGAAGTCCCCATTTCTTCGTACTTGTGTGTCACTCGAGACACAGTTCTGTGGACAAAGCAGCTTTGCAGTTGTGCTGTGTACTATGTTCTTTCCCTTAGTATGCAAGCCGCATGGCAAACAGCCTGCTTACTTTTCAACCTTCATGTGTAATATCATTTGGTGTTATTTTTCTTATATCCACAGGGACTGAAAGCACCCTTCTCTGTGTCCTTGTTGAAACCTGTTATGTGCTCCAACAATTAAAATGAAGGGCGCTCACTGAAATGATTTCTAAACAAGTTTGCTCTAGGCTACACTGGGTTTGTCTTGAAGGAGTAGGACCACTAATTTACATACCCTATTATGTGGACCGACATTTGGAGCATGTTTGAAATGAACTTTTTTTCTTTTGCTGTGTTTGCTAGAATAATGCCCCAGAGCCTTTTGAACACCAGGCACATGCTCAACTTAATGAGTTACATCCTGCGTGCCCAACATTTTTTTTTAGTAAAACAGAGTGACTAATATTTACCTTCTTCAAAGTATTATAATGCTGGAAATGCTGAGTATGTTTAGTTTGAGATAGCAGGGCTATTTCTTCGTTTTAAGTGCTTCTTGTGAAATGAAGTACTAATTAAACATTTTCTTAGAATTAATGTATTCGGTTTCTCTATTACTTCCCGTTCTAATACACTGAAATGTGAGTTTTGAAATGAAACTTTCTTCTGACTCATCTGTGCAGCCCTATTCTGCAGAGAGCTTTCTATTGGCCTTTTCTCTCCTATTTTTTTTCTTTGCTAGCTCATCTGCTTATTGCAATTTCTCTTCCTTTTCTGTTTCATCTTTGGCTTCTATGCGGGATTTGTAATTATGGAATTTGAATGACTGCTTCATAGTCCACAATGAAGCAAAGGGATTGTAACACTGTCTCTTTGGGAGGCATTCAACAAGAGTAGAATTCAGGAGGGAGGTGAGATCAGGCTTCAGCGAGAGTCTCTCTCATCACATCATATTGGTCTATTAAAATTTTCTAAGTTGACACTCTAACTTGTCTAAATATGCAGTTTCAAGAATCAGCATACCATATAGCTCTGTGCTGGTTCATAAATGGAAAAAGATGCCAAAAACAAAACAAAACAAAACAAACAAAAAAAAAACAAAACAAGAAAAAAGTGGTATCCAAAGCATCCATTGAACTATAATGAAATGTTAGAAGGCCGTGGACAAGACTGCTCAAAGCTCAGATCTCAGCCAGCACCCAGAATTTTACTTCATGTTCTACTTGTTCATCTTACAGGTCTGTGATGTTTTTAATATTTTTCTATTTTGATCATCATTGTGTAAATAGATACTGAATCTTCATTAATGGCTGTAATTCTGCAGGACGATATATTTTTTCATCACTTGGATATTTTTATAATACACAACCAATTAGTGGAACTCATTATCCTTTCCTAGATCTCTACCTTTGCCACCCACCTCCATCACATTGTTTTTTCTGGATGTCATGAATGGAGGCCAGGCTTTAGACAAGAGGCTCAGGTGAATGTTTAGACAGAGGAACAGATGAGGCAGGGAGATGTTCTCTGGGTTGATATCAAACATTTTGTGTAGCCTTGATTAGTCACTTGATCTTTAGCATGTAAAACTGAGTATTTATCATAAAAACTAAAATAAGAATGGTAGTTATAACCTCTATCATTGAAAAGAGTTGTGAGAATCATATTTGTTTACACACTCACATATACATGTTTTCATTAGTCACTGAAATTCTTCATTCTAAGACATTGAGGTAACTCTGGAGGAGAAGTACGCAGCCTCAGTGTTGAGCTGATGAGTCAATGTGTGAGGGAAGGCCTCTTTACTTCCAAGTCTTTAAATGTCTTCCCAGTCCAGCCAGTCTTCACCAAATCATGAGCCATCCTAGATTTCTCAACAAGATAGACGTGAAGCCCAGAATGCTCATAGATGAGCTCACATTTCCTAGCTTTCCTTACAGAAATACATCTCCAAGCAGTGGAAATTTTTTACTTAGTAAATCACTACTGACAGAACTTAAGCCACTGAGATCTGTTATCTTAGCAAGTCCACCTGTCTGTCCTATCACTCTGTATCTCTCAAAACCCCATGCCCCGTATTGAAAAAGCCCTATTGATTCCCAACAAAAGCATAGACGACAGGTGGTTCTTCCCTGGATATACATGCCATATCATTAGCCACTTTCACGATGAGGCCACTTATTGGAGCTCTATCTGCTGGAGCTTTACAGAAGGCCAAACTGAAAATGAACATGTTACAGACTCTGTTTACACCAGGATGCTCAGCATTTACCCTACCTACTGTCCGCTAAGTAAACATCAGCAGTTATCTCCACAGCTGGGGCATGAAAATGTTCACAGACACTGCCATGCTCCTATGAATGAAACCATCCTCTGCTGAGAACTGCTGGCTTAAGGGCATCAAGCTCTAGTAGAACATACATCACATAGGGTATTTTTAGCATGGTGTTTCTCTCACGTTTTAAAACATTAATTCAGAGGTCATATATTAGATAAAACAAGATCTCACCAGAAGTATGTGTACTAGATACTGATAAACTGAGGTAGATAGTAAAATGACATAATTCTGGCCATTCTCATGACAGAGCTTCCCATGGGATACGAGACGTCTTGATATGGGTCCCAGAAAGAATCTGTCCACATGCTGGCTATGGTACATGAAGGCCAACTTTCTAGGGTGTTGTTTGAGATATGTTTCTGAAAAGCTCCATAACATTGGTCTAGATCAATGCTTTAAAAACACACTCTGTGTTTTCACTCATATGTAGGGTATAGATTAAAATATAAATTCAAGGAATGAATGTAGAAGGAAGACAGTCTAGAAAGAGCAAAGGCACCAGTGGGAAGGTGAGTGGAAAAAAAAAGAGAAAGCATCAGAAGGTAAAGATAATCAAAATGCATGATAACCATACCAGAGCCTGTCCTAATAAAACCCATTAATAAAAATTTCACGCATGATTAAGTAATGTGAAAAAATAATTTAATACTGTTTTAAAATAAAAGGAAAGTAAATGGGGAAAGATACAAACAGTTGTTTATCGAGAGAATACACACAAATGGCTAATAAGTACGGAAAAATATGTTTAAAGCTATTAATTATCAAATAAATAAAATGTAAAACCATGAGTACTCATATCATATCTGTTTGGATAGCTGTGATAAAAAAGGACACAAAAATTAGCAAATATTCATGATGATTTGGAGAAAAATAAAATTGTACCCTGTCGTAGAAGTGTAAGCTAATTAAGTCATTTCGGGGAAACAGTATGGAAGTCCCTCGATATAAAAATCATGTGGGCGACTGGATTTTAGTGATAGGACCAGGGACCTCACATGGTAGGGAAGTTTGGTGATTCAGAACAGGGGAAAACGATGGAATCATCAGTTCCTGGCAGGAGGAAAGACAGGAGATAGAATAGTGATATTAATTAATATTAATAGTAATATTAATGGTGATATTAATTAATTTAATAGTAATATTAAAAGATGGTGAAGAATCTTTTAAACACAGAGAAAAAAAATTACACTTGTTTTTACCCTGAGAGTTGATCACCCAAAGGAAGGGGCATAATGAGGGAGAAAATGAGTAGAATCAAAGGCAGAGCAAAGTCGGGGAATAGATGATGGGTGTAAGAGGAGGAACCCTTGTTTTATAAAAAAAATAATTGAAGATTATAGAAGTAAATTATGATATCCAGGCCATAGAAGCAGTAAATTGCTTGGGGATGGAAGTCCAGGTTTCTGATTGCTGTGGTAGATCCTTTTCAGTAGTTCACTTAGCCTCTCTTGCTGAATCATTGCCTGTTGGCTATTTTTCCCACATCCACAGGCAGTTACTGTAGTTAATGAATAAATGCAGCCTGGCAAGACCCATTGTAAATGCATACCTTCACAGAATACCAGACATCTTGACCTCCGAGTGTCCTTTACAGCTCCCTCACTGAAAGCTGCTCAGCACGGGGACCTGATTTGCTTGGCTACAGATGTTTCTCAGAATGCACAGTTTTTCACCAATGTTAGGGAGAGACTTGGATGGGGAGAAGTAAGGTCAGACTCAGAGCGTTCTTACTGAATAGGGCTTTGGCAAGCCTAAAAATTGAAATGCCTGTGGTAGGTAAATGAGGTGCAGATGGGAAATGAAACCAGCATGTGAATGCATGATTCAGAGGAACTGCTGTCCATGGGACAGATCCTAGCAGGTGACATTGGGGAAGCTTGGGTTAGGTCACCATGCAAGCAGGTGAAATGAGTAATTGTTATTTTTGACTTTTAAATTTCCTGCACCTTGCCAGTGTTTTTATAGCCATACTTTGGGACATGCTTATACTAGGAGTTTTCTTAGATTTAAAAACCTAGACTTTCTGAGAGACAAGCAATATTCCATGTATAATTTATGCTTAAGATTTTAGGTAGATTTTTTTTATGATCTTATAAACTTCGTAATATTGTATGAAATACCCATTTTTAAACTTTAGATAAATTATAATAGCCCATTTCTAACACTTGTATTATCTTGTGCAAACACTGAAAGTTTTTTTTATTAATGTTTAACTTTAAGCGGCTCAAGTAAAGAATGAGTCTCAAGGTCCAAGCAGAGATGTCCTGATTATTACTGATCAGGCTTCGAGGAAAAAAAAAAAAAAAAAAAAACAGACTAAAGGAATCAGAGACAGCTAAAAGTGGAAGCTGAATTGACGTCCAGAGAATGTGGACCGGATATAAGATCTTAGTCTTCTCCTATCTGACCACAGGCATCTACATGGAGACTCATTTATCTCAAAGAGAAGTGGATCCAGGGCCGCAGTTCGCTAGAAATCACACCATTTTTGAAGGTACAAGGCACAAAAGGGCCATTTTCCGAGGGCAGTACTGTAGGCGCTTTGGCTGCTGTGAAGCCAGGGATGATGCCTGTGTCACTCAGTTCTATGAGGCCAATGCATTTTGTTACTGCGACAGTTTCTGTGAGCGGGAAAACTCTGATTGCTGTCCTGATTACAAGTCATTTTGCCGTGAGGAAAATGAACGGCCTCCTCTTCAGCAGCCTTTAGAGCCAGAAGGTAGGATTTGGGAGTGTGTTTGAATGTTATCCTAGTCATCAGATCTGACAGATTTATCTTCCTTTCCTCTCCTGTCCTGTCCTCTTCTGTCCTCTCCTGCCCTGCCCTGCCCTGTCCTGTCCTGTCCTGTCCTCTTCTCTCTCCTCCTCTCCTCTCCGTTCTGTTTCTTGCAATGGAATAAAAATGTTCATTTCAGCAAATTTTGTCGGAATGTTACTTTTCCTTGGTTTAAGTGCAGGGCACCTGTACCATTCTGGCACCATTGGAAAAGTTCTGGTTTGAGCGTAGTAAGTGCTGATCTGGGTTCTGTTTTGTACATTCTTTCCACATATGTGTTGTTTAAAACTTTCTGTAATCCACTCATCATGATGTTCAAACGTTTGAGTGTGTTTTACTTAGGGAATTTCCTGACTTGTTAAAAAACCTGCTCATCTAGAAGCGTTGAGCAGTTCTCCTATGTATCATTTTACTTATTATTCTGTCAGGCTCATGAACCTGTAGCGTTACAGTACATGGCATTAAGGAAGGACATTAAAATTAAGAAGGCAAAATAAAACTAGCAAGTATCCTCCTTGCCTAAGGATAATAAATTCTTCACGTATGCTTTTATCCCATTTCACCTTTTTGGAAAATTTAAGACTATCGAAGAGAGGGATGTGAGTGTGGTTCGCAGTTGGTAGACTGCTTGCTTAGCATGTACGAAGCCTCGGTTGCTCCCAGCACCACACAAACCGAACACTGACACACACACCTGTTATCCTAGCACTCTAGAGGCAGGGGAAGGGTAGGTAGGATGCACAGGGCAGCTACACAGTGATGTTTAGGTCAGCCTGTGCTGCGTGAGAGCCCATCTACAAAGATCATTAAAGAGAGAGGAGGGTCGCATACGATGCTCTTGTAAGAGTTTTAGGCCCCAGAAGATACATACAAATGTGTAATAAGATAAGTAGAATGGTTGTATTTGCTATGTGGATGCGGTTATATTATAGTGGATATTGATTTGGTGAGGCTGCTGCAACAAATGTACACAGAGTACATGGGCAAATGTACTCTATGCTCTACCCCAGATGAAGATCTAATAGCATCAGATCTCTGCATCAGAAATTTGTAGAGAATGAATCAGAATCCTGTCATAAAATTACAAGTTGGTCTCTGGCTAGAACTTGTAGTTACAAGGCACTTAAAAAAAATCTCATTTCAAAATAGAGGTGGTTTCGATGGCTCTTATTTTCAATAAACTCATCTTGCTTGTAAGTTTTTAAAATGTTTCTTTAAAAGTGTATTTATTATTTAGAATTGTCCACAGATTTCCATTGAGCCAAGGCTTTAATTTTACCAACAGACACCTCGGTAAACATTCACTTCATTTTACAAAGTAGAAGATACTCTACCATGTATGAAAAAATCTTCCTTCAGCAATTCTTCAGGCATCCCCATTGCACCAGGAAATGTGAAAAGTCTTATTGTTATAAACATTTGTAAAGTTGTGTGAGTAGGGAAAACGTAGAAAATTTGTTGAGTAGCTGCAAATAGTGGTGCATTCTTTGAAGAAAATGAGAGTGCTTCTCCGGGCTGTGGAAACAGCTTAAATGACTAACGCACTTACCTTGCAAGCACAAGGACCTGGTGTTGACACCCAGAAGCCACACAGAAAAACACAATCGGTGGCAGGAATAAAAAAAGCAAGGCTAAGCAGATGCCAGGGGTTCAGTGGCCAGCTAACCTACTATACTTATTCCACAAATACGACAGACCCTGTCCTAAAATTAAGGTGGTAACTCTCTATGCAATGTACTCACAAACAATTTGAGTGCCTTGAGAAAGTCTAACACAAGAAAGTATTAATATGTACCAAGCTATTTGCCATCTGTCTCATTGGGGGACCAGTTTAAAAAGAAATATTCCACATGATAAAGAATGAGCTGGATTGGAGAACAGTTTGTACAAGAGTGTTACAAACCTGAGTGTGAAGGCCACAGCACCGTTTGTCAACTGGAAGAAAGCATTGTTTCTAGAGGCTCATAATGAGGGAAGAGTAGGTGACAGATCAGAGAAGTGGGTATCAATTATTGCCCGAGAGACCAGTTTGGTCATGCTGGGCATCTGATATCAGGTTTGTTTAGTAGAACTTATCAAAAGATGCTACATTGGAGTAAGGATGAAGTGTCTTACATATGTAACAGTATGATTAAAGAGCTTCTCATGTTCAGAAGACTTCCAAACTCAGTTGGTTCCATCTTGAAGCTCTCGATAATGTAGAAGAAATGGGTTCCCATCATGATTTTTGGCTTTGTCCCTCAATTTATGTATGATTCAGATTTTAGGTCGTATGAGAGGGTAAGGAATCAAGGCAGCATGGATAAGCCTTGTGACAATTAGACTCAGATGATGTAAAGGCAGAAACTTTGAAAGACACGGTCTTTCCCTAGGGGACCTTAGAGAAGTTAGTGACATCCAGGGGCAGTAATTGTGACAGGAATGTACTCAATTGGCTAGAACCCAGGACATTAGAACTGAGTCACAAGAAATGAATGGGTCAGCTAGAGGATAATTGAGACGGGTTGCATTTATTTCCAGGGGGATGTCGTATGCGTATGATGAGTTCGTAAGAAGCCACATAGTACAGAATCAGTAATTAGGTAGGAGGGAAGGAAAGTTATCTAGGGACACTGAGTATTGCATTAAGAATGCAAGTGCCTGAGATCTCCTGTTGCATACTGCCTGTCTATAGAAGTGTGTCTGGCTCTATTGACAGTGTTTCTTGCAAAATGAAATATGTTATTTCTCTCTGTGTCATCCCCAGACAAAGAGAACTGAGTTAATTAAAGTCCATTGAGGATTCAATATATTTAACATGTCATCATAAACCATGTGAGCTGAGATGATTTTGTGCATCTGAATTAAGTTTTTTAAACTCTCTCCTGTTAAAGACAATTTTCTCTCTCACTCTTTTCAGACAGCATGATGTTTAAGGCTCTCTCTCCATCTCTGTCTTTGTGCATGTCTAGACCTCTGTGATTGTCCCTTTATTTCCCTTTCTGTTCTCTCCAAGATAAATGGGCATCTGCTACCACAAAGCTCGTGGTGGAGTCACATGCACACCTTCTCCTTTAAAAACCAGTTTTGTTCATGGACAGTCTTACTGTATCCATTTTTTGCATATTACAAAGAGGCAGGAGTAACATTTCCATCATTTTAGAGTGTCTGTGTGTAAAAGTTACCCATGGTAACAAACTCAGCAGCGAAACCTGGTTATTATATAATATTTATAAAATTATTTTTAATTAAATTTATTTATTTATTCAATTTACATCTTGGTCATAGGTTCCTCCTTCCTCTCCTCCAAGTCCCATTCTCCTCTATTCCTCCTCCTCCTCTATTCCTCAGAAAAGGGGAGCCCCTCCTACCCACCTACCCCAGCTCGTCTAGTCCTATGAAGACTGCATATATTTTCTTCCCCTGTGGCCTGGAAAGGCAGCCCCATCAAGGGGAAGTGATCAAAAAGTAGGCAACAGAGTCCATGTCAGAGCTATCCCCCACTTTCCTTACTAGTGGCCCCACAACAAGCCTGAGGTGCCCATCAGCTACATACATGTAGGGGACCTCCCATCCCATCCATGCATGATGCCTGGCTGTTTTTTCAGAATCCATAGAAATTTCTGGGCCCTGGTTACTCTGCTCTGTTGGTTTTCTTGTGGAAATCTTGTCACCTCTATGTCCTTTTATTCCTCCCCACACTTTTCCACTAGGCTCCCTATGCTTCGCCCAATGTTTGGCTCAGTATCTGTTATGAACCCTTGCTGGGTGGAGCCTCTCAGAGGACAACTCTGTTAGGCTCCTGTCTGCAAGCATAACAAAGTATCATTAATAGTGTCAGGGGTGGGCTTTCTTCCACGGGATGGGTCTTAGGGTTGGGCCTGGCTTTGGTTGGACATTTCCTCAATCTCTACTCTATCTGTTCTGTCTTTGTCCCTGCAGGTCTTGTAGTCAGGATAAGTTTTGTATCAAAGTTTTTTTTATGGGTGGATTAGTGTTTTCCTCCATCCACTAGAAATCTCGTCTAGTTTGAGGGTGTTTCAGTACCCATGGACCCTTCTACTTGGAGTCTCAGTCAGAGTCCCCCCTCATATTCTCCCAGAAGTCTATTCTGACTTTGGTCTCTAGTTTGTCACAGAGATGCCCCTACACACCCTTTCTCTTTTCTCAGGCCTTCTGCCCTCTTGCCCCATGCTCTGCCCAGGTCTGATCTCCACCCTTATTTCTCTCTGTGCTCCCTGCTTTCTCTTGTTCTCATTCTTCAACCACTACCTCTGTCTATGCTATTTCCTATTTTGAGTGAGATTTGCTAATACTGCTTCTGTCCTCCTTGTTACTAATCTTCTTGGGGTCTGGGCATTGTAGTATGCCTATGCTGTACTACCTGCTTAAATCTGCTTATAAGTGAGTACATACTGTATGTGTCTGTCTGGGTCTGTGTTACCTTACTCAGAATGATCTTTTCTAGTTCCATCTATTTGCCTGCAAATTTCATGATTTCCTTGTTTTTAATGGCTGAGTAATATTCCATTGTGTAAATGTACCACAGTTTATTTATCCATTCTTCAGTTGGGGGATATCTAGGTTGTTTCCAGTTTCTGGCTACTACAAATGTCCTCATTGTATGGTGAGGCATTATTTGAGTGTATTCTCAAGAGGGGTATAGCTGGATCTTGAGGTAGCACTATTCCAGGTTTTCTGAGAAAGCACCAGATTGATTTCCAAAGTGGTTGTACAAGTTCACATTCCCACCAGCAATGGAGTAGGGTTCCCCTTTCTCCACATCCTCTCCAGCATGTGTTGTGATTTGAGGTTTCGATCTTAGCCATTTTGATGGGTATAAGATGGTATCTCAGAATCATTTTGATTTGCATTTTCCTGATAACTAAGGACTTTGAGCATTTTTAAGTGCTTCTCAGTCATTCAATAGTCCTCTCTTGAGAATTCTCTGTACCCCATTTTTA